CCCCTTGCCTGCCAGTGCCTCACAGATTGGACTGTCCCTGTTGACAGTAACCTCCTCACATTTCGTACACCTCACCTTGAACAGACTTCCTAAAACAGTCAAACATTCAAAATAAAACTGTTAAAGCCCTTCCTCACCGATATTTTCCACCTTAATTACTGCTTAGCTATTTCAAGGTATTATTTTCCCTTTTTTTTTTTTTTTTTATACACCTTTATGAATGTTTTGCCAAATTGGTATCCCTTTATAATGCCATAAATTGTGTAGGTTTAAAACTGTGGGGTTACATTGTATAATGAAATTTTGCTTTACAGTACACATACAATAAACAATGTTAAAGAGAGTTTCTTCCGCTTAAAAACTTTAACTTCCCTAAATTTTAGGGCACCAGGAAAACTGCTTTTTTTATTATGACATCATAAATTTGCCAAAATGTGAAAAATAGAAAAAGTACAAGAAATTTTCCTTAGATTTTCTGATTAAAAGTACAGGGTTTTGTATCATTGTTCAACAAATTCACAAGAAAAACATTGGACATAAATAGGTATTGGGTCATCTGCCTGACTACATGGGTCTCCTCTGAGTAATCTGGTTTCCTAGATCACACATTAAGACGCCTGCAAACTTCCATCCAGGCCAATAAGAATGATCAGATTTATACAAGTTGTAATAACTTGTTTCATTAATATTGTTGTAAAATACATAAAGTTTACATTTTAAGTTTCAACAAAAAATGATAAGAACACAAAAATGGCCCTGTAGACACAGCACTTTTAAGACAGGTCATGTACATATAGTGGGTCTGAAGTTGAAGTTCTGGTTTACATAAAAAAATAGTACAACAGTGTTTAGATTAGACAGTTACACTTACCATGAAGTTCGAGGATGTTTTTGGTGCCTGCTTGGCGGTGCAACTCATCAATATTCTGGGTGATGACAATCACACGACGATTCTGCTTCGCAAGCCTCTCCTCACATTCAGCTATGGCAATGTGGGCCTGCAGAAACAGACAACGTCTTTGATTTTCATAAATTTTAACCCTGTATAAGGAGACCACCCTTTAAAAGAAACCAACTCTTTAAAAATATATTAACCAAAAAGACATTAGCAAGAGGAGAGTTAATCGACAGTTCTACAGTAATTTGACATATTAAACATAATTTATGAAAAATTGAAAACATCATAAGACATGAATGATCCCTTGCCCCTGAAGCTGGTTAAATGATCACAAGGAGTTTGTGGACAGAATAGTTATAGTTGACCTTTAAAAAGAAAAAGTGACCTTGACCTTTGGACCCTGAAATACAAACTTAATTGTCAGATCTAGAGGTACATCTTCACATACTTGACCTTTGCATAAACTTTAATAAAAACCTTTCAAGAAATGAATTCAGTACAGCTGATACAATGTATTGTAACGGGACAAGGCACAACAATGGATAAAAGTATTTCTGTTTACCCCCCCCCACTTCATTGTTTTTTTTAAGGTGTGGGGGTGCATAATTACCTGGTTAGGTTTCTTTGTGACCATGACCTCTCGTCTGTGATGATAAAACTCCCATACCAGCGACGGATCTCTGTGGAATGCTTCAGGTGTAGCTAGTTGCTGCAATAAATTACAAAGAATTACCTTATTCAATTTAATAAACATTCTGGGCACTTTGGGAAATTGTGAGAATTAGCACTGTAAAACCTATAATTCTCATACTTCAGGTGATTGAAAGTTGTTTATGATAAAGTTATGATGACAGAATTGAACCTCTGACGTTGACCATATATTTGATTTAGAGAAGTGCAGGTAAGGGATGGTAATTTTGTGGATATATTCTGAATTTGTACAGGGTTGTTTCGGAAAAAACCCTGAAAAAATACTTTGTTAAAAAAAATTGAGGTAGTTAAGTACGCTAATGTTACTTGATTAGAAATTTGCTGTCGGGTTGAACTCACAGATTCACCTTAGCACATCAATACTGTATACCAGGAAACTTTCGCCATTTCATACTTTTGCCCTTTGCCAAAGAAATCAGTTTTGCCCAGTGTTAATTAACCCTTCACATTTAATCAAATTCACCCTCTGTAAGGCACAATTTAACATGTAGCAAAAATTTCTCACTTAACAGTAGTGAAGAATGCAAAGCATTTTGATTGACAGTCCCAAATCACCATACAATTTGGAATAAAAAAAAATGAGCAAAGGGACACAACTCCGTGTATATAATAGGACATGAGACCCAGCTTCAGTATACAACACTCATGCTCGTGCTGGTATACCAAATATGGCACATGTACATGTAGTTGACAGAGTATATGAGATATACCTGGTGTCATGAACAAAGTGACACTTGAACTGACTTACTGAGTGCAAACCTCTGTTCCAGTCTCCAGTAGTATAAACTTTAGTTCTGGTGGAACTTAGAATCAAACCCTGCCATGAAAATTAACTTGTCTACAGTGTTTTTGGATTGCCATAATATAAGGGTCTTTCTCTCCCACTCCCCTCCCCCATCCCC